GCAGGCAGCACACTAACCAACTAAGCCACACTTGCTCCTCAAAACAAGTGTGTGAGGTCACTGAGGATCAAACTATGGACCTCTTGCTTAGCAGGTAGCACACTAACCAACTAAGCCACACTTGCTCCTCAAAACAAGTGTGTGAGGTCACTGAGGATCAAACTACATATGGTCCTGTTGCTTAGCAGGCAGCACACTAACCAATCAAGCCACACTTGCTCCTTAAAACAAGTGTGTCAGGTCACTGAGGATCAAACTATGGACCTCTTGCTTAGCAGGCAGCACACTAACCAACCAAGCCACACTTGCTCCTCAAAACAAGTGTGTGAGGTCGCTGAGGATCAAACTATGGACCTCTTGCTTAACAGGCAGCACACTAACCAACCAAGCCACACTTGCTCCTAAAATAAGTTGTAAGGTCACTGAGAAACAAGCTATAGACAGAGTTCGTACCCAAAGCACTCCAATACAGTACAATCACATGTAGTTTTTCTTGGAATAACTGATATACTTACTGAAGCAGTTTGATTCTTCCCAAAGCCTTTTAGCAAACTCACATGCATGGCTTACAATTTGATATCGTTCTGACTCAACGAGTTCTGATACACAGCCACCTTTTTTATAGATTTCGTTTTTGTTTCTTCTTACATCGTCGTACTGTTCATAGCACATACGACAGAACTTAAACGGAGAGGCTTGGCTGACTGCACATCGCGTAAAATTCGATATTGATTCTGCTAATCCTTCGAGTTGTTTTTTGCAGTTCTTGTCAATAATATCGTGTTTGCTGCTTACAAATGCGGAATTCAGAGCGAAAAACGATAAAATTCCAACGGTTAGGTAAGTAATGAGCATCCTTGAAGCCTTTTAGAGCATTTTGATGAATTTTTTCGACAATAAGTGAAAGTAAAAGAGGAAATAAAGAAGTAAAAGTTGGATAAACGTAGATTGTTGTTGCAGAAGAAAAACGTCAGGCGTCATGCGCTGGTCACGAGACTTGAGGGAGACTGGTCAGAAACCCACAGGAAGACCGACCAAGAAGAGCAGCTTTGCAGATGTTTTCTACAGACTTTTCAAAATATTTATTTTTCCAAAATAAGAAAAAAGAAAAGAAAAGAAAAGAGAAGGGAAGAGAAGAGAAGAGAAGAGAAGAGAAGAGAAG